CTCCCCTCCCTTACCTTAGCCCCAAAAATTCTTGATGTACTTTACCTCAAGATTTTTAAGACGATTGAATATGCAGCGCATCGATACATCGTTCATTCTTAGACACATTTCCAGTTCCAATCGTTTCAGTCCCATGGGAACAACCTAGGAAAAAGAAGAGATACAAAATAAGTACGTAGTACACTATAGGAAAATGGGCTGGTTCATGGAGATCAATTCCAGTAAAGTGGGGCACAATTCACCATTCACCGACCCTATACAGTCTCGTTCAGAGCGGATGCTGGGCTATGGCTCAGGGTGTTGCTGTTGGATCTGGCAAGCGACAACAATTGGTGGAAAACGGGTTGGGCCCCCGCCCCCGCGATACGCCCCAGCATCCGCAGCGAATGAGACGTCGAGTCCTTCCACAGAAATTCTGACCCACAATCATCTGTCCGCACCGTTTCACCCCCTTATGACAGAAGCAGTTGTCGTTCTTCCGACGCTCAGCACAGAATGCCACCCCTTACTAGAACAGCGCCAAAAGATTAGATCGTAATAAAACGCATCTTCCACACGTACTTCTCAACCGTAATACGCCGAGGTAGCAAAATTGTTCAAATTAACTTTGAAATTAAACAAAGATGCAACGTACCTGGAAGCAGTGTCCACTTAAATACTGAGCGTCGATACAAAGAGTTTCCAGTTGAGGGCATTGGCGGAAAATCTGAAAGCGCTGACTTAATCGATGTAAATCTCTTAGGAGGCAAGAATAAGTTCATGGTTCGCGACCGCTCTGGTTGAGAGATTTGATAACGTGACCTACTCGCGTCTACTAGCGTCCGAAAACTTCAAAATCCAGTAATTTATGGTTCTCAAATGTGAATTTCCATGCCAATATCCAAGTGAAAAGTAACCGAAGTATGTCCTCACCGTGAGCAAATCCGTATCTCTCAATCGGTGACGTTTACAAACTAAAATATCCAGTTCCCTGAGATTGCTACACATTTTGACAGCAGTTATCACAGATTGACGCCAGCTCCATTGAGTGCAGGCCTGAAAAGAGATTCTTTCAGAACATTCACAAAAGTTTTAGCTATGAATTACACGAAAAAAGACACAGTTCGGCTTTTTGGGGGCAACAAATAGTACCCAGCGTACCCCCAATCACAGTAAAGAAACTGTGAACTGAAGACCTGTAAATTCTTGTAACCAAAGTAGTTCGCTCGTACCACTTCGTAGCCCCACAGGAGTTTACAAATCTCATCAAGTTGAGACCTGTTACTTAGAACTACCAAAATAAACTGATGGAAGTAAAGTGCCCCTTCCAAGCCGAACAACGCCTCGAAAATTTTCTATAGTTGCGGTTGAAGAAACTTACTTCGTCCTCAACGGAGCGGAAGAGATCGAAGTTAATGGCG